GATGGTTCTATTAATTTCTTTATAATTTTGTGTTTACGTCCCTTAAAGACTATTTAAATGTTGAGCAAGCAATCTCATTTGCTGCAAGACCAAAGAGGCCAATCAGCTTGTACAATGTAGTAATGATGTGATTGCTTGCAGATTGAATTTAAAAGGACCTTTCAGCCTGTACACTCAAGTTTCACGACTTAACTAAATAATCTTTAAATTCCTACCCCAAACCCGTGGTAACTGATTGTTACCAGTCCTATGAGAGATTATATCACTCCCTAGGCTGGTTCAGTTAGATCTTATGGGCCACATTCACTGTTTGTGTTCACGCCTGCCAGACTGTTTCTAAACTTATCTCTAAAAGATTTAAAATCTCCTCTCAGAGCTCAGTAGCACCAACAAACACATAACAGTTTTCTCCCCTGAAATGCTGCAGACTTAAAACACTACAGACCTCCTCAAACAAAAATAACTCCATTTCACCAGATGTAATCCACCTGCTTACTTTGGCACCCTAAACTGCTCTGATTAGTTCCTCCCTTGATGGCATTAGATATCTTGAACCTATCTGAAACGATCTCAGCCTTGAAGACATAGAAAGACATTCAATCACCTGCACAGTTGTGGTCTCTTTTAACGTCAGGAGCTGACGTCCTTGCATTATTTGTAACTCTCAGAGAATAAGCAAATCTCTGAATACCAGCCTTGCATTTAATCAGCCACTCACAACTTTGCTCACTGACAGAAAATAGGAGATTAAGGTTGCATATATGCTAGAGAACAAAAAAGAGACAGGGCCAAACAAAAATAAAGAGAAATTCATCATATACACTGTTAGACTTACAGCTATTTACTTTAAATCACCCAGTATTATACTGCTATTTATCTTTAAAGTAAATAACTGTGATTCCCATTGCATCATGGGAATTTTCTGATGTCAAACACCACATACAAGACTTACTGTATTTTTTTTTAATTTGCAGTATACTACTGTATTTGCCATAACAGTACTCTTTGACTGGCACCATTCCATCATGCTGGTTTATGCACACTAGTTTAACATTATACTTGTCAACATGGCAGTAAAGAACTTTACCACGGTAAACTGCACTAACATTTTATTTTACAGACTTTGTTAGATTTACAAACTATACCATATTATATGTTTGTTTGTGTGTGTGAGTGTGTTTTAATGGAATTTGATATTTACTGTAATTTTGTATGTGTTTAAGTTCTGTAACAAAGCGCCAATTCGTGCCAGTGACGTCTAGCAAGATTCCTGAGGTAAGCCTAAACTATAATCGAAATCTCTTATATATATATTTATATATATATATTAGTGACATAGACATTTTATCATAAGTTTGATAAAATGATTAGCATTATGTTATAAGTACTTTGGAGCCACTGGTGCAGGCGGCATACAAAATCTTATAAAATCTCTATATAATTGGCTAAGTTTATATCAAATAGGTTAAGTGACCTTTGCATCATGTCTAACATTATATTTATTACACAGCAAATGAACCAATCAGAAGGTAGACCATTTTCTATGTTCAGTCTAACCAGATTAAATGTATCTAGTAAGTATTGCAGTTAAAAATTCTCACTAAGTCATACATACCAAATCTAGCATTTTAACAACTCAGGTTTATATATATATACAGTATATATATATATATTACATAATATAATATATATTACATAATAATAATAATAATATATTACACATATATTCATTTACATATATTTATATTATATATATATACATACTGTATTATATATTTACATTATTTTGATATTTTATTAGGCAGAAGACTCTATCATCCCACCTGACCAGGAAGGTCCTAGTATCAGCGCACAGGTGGGTTAACTACTAGAAGGAAAATGATCATCACTCAGTGATTTCTTGCATGTGTCTTACTGTACTTGTCTCAAACAGGATATAGTGTTGGAACCAGGATCTCCTCTGAAGGACTGAGTACATTTGTGTTTGTACACGCGTATGACAGCAGCCATTTGATCTGTGCATCACTACAGCATTGATCTGAACGTACTTTATGTTACTCTTTGCTAGGGCTGCCAATCGATCTCTTTAACTGAGTTAATTCAATTTATACTATATTTTAATATGTATGTCTAAGATACAATTTTGCATTATTTTGCCAGATGAAAGCATTGAATAGGCATTACAAAAAGTAGCTTTAGAGGTCAAAATATTTTTTCCATATCAATTAAGATAAGCCTGTCACTGGCCTATTGTAAGTTTAGATTGCTATGATGGAAAATCCCCCATTATGGGTCAGGGAGTATCCTTAATGTTGTTAAGCATTTTTAAAGTATGACTGAATAATAGCTAAATTAACATGAAAGAAAAAAAGTGGTAGGTGTTTAGTGTGTGCTGCATTAACTTTCTATATGATAGATGGTAAAGTGTGTGCTGCATGTGGGTGGAACAGTTGGAGCAGTGTTATAGGATGGAGAGAAGCATGTGACGAGACAATGTAGCTCTACTGTTACTCACACAGTAACACTCTCACTGAGAAGTTGAAAGGCTACTGACAGAGGCGCTGACATGCTCTGTGGGTAAAAATAAAACATAACACACTAGCACGTGATAACCCAAACATGTTTGTGAAAGTCAGCAGATCACAATGGATTACATCAGACCATGCAACATACAACAGTGCGAGAATGTGCAAATCTGACTCCAGGTATTTTTGAAACATGTCAAAAACGTATGCTACAGAGACTTGTGAAATGAACAGGTATACCAGGAGAACATTTGATTTAAAGAGACAGGCTGTCGGGGCTGTCAGCTAAAGGGGAACGGGACTAGAAGATGTTAATTAGGTAGTGGATGGGGCACATATTTATCACTCCTGCCCTTCCACTCTCACTCTGTCTCTGTTTTTTTTTAACCAGTCTCTCTCTGTTTTAATCACGTAAACAGACAACGGATATCTGCTTTATAACTAATTAACAGGACAGAAGACTAAGAATGGCAAATTCATTTAAGTAGCAATAAACATTTGCAATGCTAAGATTTGGAATTAACAGTCTGTGAAAGATCGTGGTCAAGATGTTCTCAAATGGCTTCATGTAAGCAAAGCCAGTTCACCAGTTACACTATGCAGGCTGTTAAAACTGACACATCTTGAATGAGAATCGAACAGACTGGTTCTCCTGGCTCACTGGCTAGTATGCCTGCTTTTCTTAGCAGGCTTCTTCTGTGAACAGCACTGACTGCTGTCATAGCCATGAGTTGCATTTTCTCCTAGAGCAAAAGGTGTGATTTACTTTTCTTACAGTCAGTGGGATTTTGAGTTTGGGCTTCTGTTATTGTTTTAGTTTTAGTAATCCAGCTCAATGCAAAACTCAACCTCATATATATTCTCATATTCAGGATTTGGGAACAAAATAGGAATTTAAGGATATGGTTCCACAAATATGGTTGTCACATTACTTTTTAAAGGGGTCATATGGTGATGTTACAAATGTGACAACATGCCCCATAGGTGGGCCACATACAATGTGCCCCACCTATGGGGCATGTTGTCACATTTCACTTCCATTCTTTCAGGTTAAATCAAGAAAATAATATACACTGTATTAATAAAACAAAACCACATATTGTACAAGAAACCATCACATTGTACTAGATATGTGGGAAATTAATGTGGGGGGGAAAATACTCTAAATCCTAAGTAGATTTACACAAACTGACAAAGTCAAAAAGCGTTATGTTGTGCCCCGCTCTTCCCTACAGTAAACACATGAGTTTGTACATTTCACTAAGTTACTCTAACGTTACCCTGCCAGTAGCCAACATACAAACAGATCAAAGTGACAATTTAACCAACCATTCAGAAACCACCTGTTCCAGCCTTAATTGTCGAACTTTTTTGCGGCTGTCATCTTGCTCCGGGTCTGACTCCGGTTGCGCAGATGTGTCCTCAGAGACTCCTTCCCATTCTTTATACAAAATATACCCTCAACTGTTGTCAAGGCAACACTCCACGTGCGTTGTCAAAATGCCCGCAGAAAAGAGGGGTGAAGTGAGCCAGGCTCCTGCACTGCTTATGGCGTGTTGAAAACAGAGCTACTTTGGCCAGGTAAAAATGAGTTTTCTTACAATACTAATGAGAATTTTTAATTAAAGTATAATAAAAAAAAATCATTTAGACCCTAAAGAATCAAATTAACTTATATGGAAATTGCATTATATGACCCCTTTAAGCATTAAAGTCACACATACAATGTTGAGAAAATGAATATTATTTCTTAACATTTTCACAAATTGTATTGTCTGCACTCATCAAGTTAAACCATATTATTGTAGTGGAAAAAAAGATTAAACAATTTTTTTCTAATCAATTAGCTTATTAATTAGCTACTACAAACCAGATAGACCTAAGCGAAAGCACAAAATTTGCAACCTTGTTATTATTTTTATTTTTATTCTAATTGTGATGTCCATTTAATGGTTTTGCAAGAATGTCAATCTTGCTATTAAATTGCATACCGAATTTATAGGTCATGAAAATATCCGAATAAACAAAATTAGATAAAGAATTAGCATGTTTTTCACACCAGTAATGATCATGCCACTGAAATCCCTTGCACATTAAAAAACAGTAAGAATATTTACAAAGGTTATGTATACGTATCCCATAATAATCATTGCCCACAAGGCAGTTGCTACAATATGAATCGAAGACTTTAGATGTTACCAAGTAACATTAACGCTCTAATAACACGAGGTAATTACAGTATAGCACCTGCGCCTCACCCGTCTTTCTAATATCTCTTTCACACTGACTGGGACAAACAACGGTGTTTACTGCAGCCCTGAAGTAGCCTAGAATCTATCACACAGCCTAATATAATACTATAAGTATTATGTTAAAACATTTTAAATTGGATGAAAATACACAGCCTAACTCTTTATACACCGACCAAAAACCAAAAGAACAAATCCCAAAAATGCTTTTTGCAAAGTTTCCTACCTTAAAAGATTTGTCGGCCAACTTGGTCCTTACAATTGGTTATATGACAAACTGAAGACTCTTCGTGAAGATAATGTTCAACTTAATTCGCAGGTTAAATCGTTTTTCCTGGACAAAGCTGTTGGTTGCGCGCTCCGGAGATGCCGCAGGAAAAGCGCGTGGTGGCTTGACTCGGCGAGCAAGAGAGAAAGTCATATCTGTGGAGTCCTGAACATTACATTACTCAATGCTCCATCACTCCGCATCTGTAACCAGGTAACGGCTCTTCCGCAAGCACAAGCAAAAGGTAGGCGTTGATATAAATCACTCCGGTACCCGTCAGTTTGTGTGTGTGTGTGCCTGCGTGCGTGCGCTCGCGTCCGTCGCGCGTCCGTGTGTTTTAGAGGTTTATTTGTTGTTGGTTTTAAACTACAAGCCTACACGGCGTGTTCGCACGAAAACAAAAAAAAAACATTTTAGGGTATATACTAGGCTACTAGGCAGATTATTTCCGAATAATGATCCCCGACGAGAATAAGTTGTCAAATGTTCCCTTCGATCAGGGAAGGGCACTTGGCTGTTGATATTTAGGCATTGTTCACACGGACACGTATTTTTATAACCGGAGTTTTTCCTCTTGCGTTTAAAAAAAGAAAGAAAAAGAAAATCCCAGCCACATGAAAACGCTATCAAGCGCTGTCAAGAGCATGCCACACCAGCAAGCAGCGATATAACCCACCGTCAATCAGAAGCCCAACAAAAAAGTTATTACAAGTTCCGGTAGGCATGACGGCACAGCGCGGGAGCATACTCCCTCATAGCACACGTAGCATACATCACAGACGTCTATTTGATGTGTTTACATCTGGAAGACGCATTTTTTAGTTTGCTCATCTGCAATAGACCTATAGGACGTTTCCTGTCAGATATCAAATGTTAAGAAGATACCTTTAAGATGTAATGATCTTAAAGATGTCTATCAGATATAGTAAACAGTAGATGCTTTCCAAATGAAGTGATCTTTAACAGACATCTTGCACATGTATATGTGTGCTATCTGGGCTCTTACATCGCAAGGCAAAAACCCTCATGTCTACACGACAACACTGTAACCGGTGTTTCTGAAAATCCTCACCTTGGCAGGGGTTTTACAAAAATGTTTGGTTCAGTGTCCAGATACTACGTTTCCATGTGGACGAATGGCCGAACTGCATAAGAAAAGCCACGGTTATAAAAATACCCGTGCAGTGTGGACAGTCCCAGATAGCACACGTACGTCTGCAAGATGTCTGTTTGAGATCACTTCATCTGGAAAGCATCTGCTGTTTACTAACATATGATAGACATCTGATAAATACTCACCGGTTCATGCATCGCAGAATGTGTCTGAAATAATTCCATATCCAGTCAACAATTTGATCTCACCATGAGCCATGTGCACCATGTGCACTCATACTGTAAACTCACCATGTGAGACCACTGTGTTATCATTGTATTAAACGCCCATTCTGTTAGTTTATTTTGAGTTCACTCACTGTGATTTAACATTTCTCTAATATTGGTCAGTTGTATCACAAACATCATGTAGAAGATCATATTTTATTTCCCTCAAATAAGTATTTTAAAAATTCAGTTTCCTTGTTCATTTTGTATTCTTTTCACCCTGGTGTTGGCATTTGATAGAAATATTTCTCTCTGACAGATGCATTAAAATTCTAGTGTTTTTTTTTAACTCCTTTTTCACCTCTTAACCTCTATTTATTACTACTATCTATTACTACTGCTGCGTTCCAATTCCCACTTATACTACACCCCAAAACTCTTTTTTTGTGAAGAAAAAGTACACAATTTCGAATGTGTCGCAAAAGAGTAGGCAAGCTTTGGGACATACTACAAAATCCATTTCCGGATCAGAGGATGGAGGATGGAGGAGCGAGGAAACTAGGCAACTAGGCGGGATATTGAGAAGCACCCTAGGCCACAATGCATATTGGCATTTTAATAGCATATGATGAGCATATGTAAATGGCAATTAAAGGGACTCACACTCACCATTTTTCCAGTCGAACAATTCCACACTGAGTCCAAAACACAACTGTACTGCACAAACGTTTTGCTAACAAATCCTGCAGTCTCCATGTTTTTTTACAGTTTTGAGAAACAGGAAGTATAATGCCACCTGTGACAACATTTGAACTGCCTCCTCTCAACCTGCTCAATATTTTGAATTCACAATGCGCTCATATAATACTCCTACTGTCAGAGTATCTTTGCTCCTTGCTGAATGCTAGTAATAATTTTCAGAAAGATTGAGGCTTGGGTTATGGCTACTTTTACTGAAGAAAAAGACATGCCGTTTTCACTTTGATATACTTGCATAATGTGGCTTATAACTCTATGAAATTCCCCATAACCTTGAATTTCTTCAAGAAGCTGGCACAGTCCTGCAGCAGTGATGCCTGATATAGGTCCTTCATGAGATAATGTAAAAAAGGATGAATTTGTGACACAGCTGTCGATCCGCTGGATGAAAGAGGGCCATCTGCTAAAGCCTGGGACACACTAGACGATTTTCAAATCTTAACCGATTTTAAAACTGTGGAAGACCACAGTCATGAGTTTCAACCTATTTTTAGCATTATAATCCTATGAACGCACACGCTGGATGATCAGTCGGACTGAAAGACCAACACTTATTGATTGTAGCAATGATTTCACAGTGAGATGAAATCTCACAGACTTGCAAGATCAAATGTGACTTGAGAAGAAAGACAAATGAAGGACAATCTATGTAGTCAGCTGGCTCTCCTGCTGCGCATTCTGTTTGAAAAACAAAGGAGAAAAAAAAGGTTATCATCCTCAATCTCACCTTCATGGCATTTTTGTGGCTGCCAAGTTTCAGTTAGCCTATAGAGGCATGCAACATCCGGTAGGTGAAGCTTGCTTGCTCTCATTTCTTATCACGGGTATCACTACAGAGGCAGCCCGGTCAAGAGATTCGGGATCATGGAGGGTCTGACGTGATCGGGAGCAGTAAAATAATTGTAATGACACCACACAGTTGGGGATTTTTGGGACAAAAAGTCAGTTGCGACAAGCCTTAAATCGGTCGCACACTGGGGGGTGCAAATTGGGCTCAAAATCGGCCTAAAAAATTACAAGTGTGTTGTTTGCCTAAAGAGGTTAATGACAACAGGATTTTCATTGAAGAGTCATCCAATATTACGTATGCACAAGAAAAGACTTTCACCGAGTGCATAGGTGGTTTTAAGCAGGTTATCACTTAAAAACTGAGAGGTTGCTAGAGTTAAAAGGGTTTTAACCTAAATGATTATATCAATTTCACCTTTAATTCTACCATATAATAATTCTACCAATTTCAAACATTTCAAAATCCCAAATAAATAATGGCTGCTTGTTTAAAGATTTAGATGTTTTGTTTGGTAACTTTAGAGAATGCATGAGAAGATTGCTTCTTTTCCTTCAAATTCAAGCGAAACCTGGTCTGAATCTGATGAGGTGCTGTCAAGATTATGTCATAGAAAGCAGGAAATCAATAGCTCATTACATTGCACTTGACTCAGAAATCCATGCCTTGTATATTCATGGCATCTATGGCATTTAAAAACTGTTGAAGCCTTATCCAGAGGTGTTCTCTGAAATATATCAAAAACTGGGCCACCACAAACAACAACAACTCAGACCTTAAACCAACCATCCCAATATAACCAGGTCCTCTCTGGCGAAGTCTAACCTTGTCCAAGTGTTAGTTCAGAGGAGTCTGACAGTCTGGTGTATCTGCCTGGCCAGGTTTGTGGGTCCACTCCCACAGTGTGCTAAAGGTCATCGCTAAGGTGTGCTGGCTGCTTCTGTTCCCGCATCATTAAGCCAGCATGAGGCTTGTAAATGTCAACAAGTATAAACCCCCAAGCACTCTGCTATGCTTCAGAGCATCATCATTACTGTCAAACCTCTCCTACTTTCTTCACTGAGTGGACCAGCAAATAAAATAGATTGGCAAATGTCCAATCAAAAAACAGAAAGCCACTTTACTGTGGGTTGGTACCCACTTACACCTGTTATATCAGATCCAGCAGCATACCTTGAGGCTGTTATGATTTCTGATTTGATTCCTGCAGATATGACTGCTCAATGTCTCCTATCTCTGCCGGTTCCCTCACTTGAAGGTAGAGGCTGAAATTTATGAAAAAGTTTACACAAGTGCGCTATTAGTTCTTAAACACATGAAACAACCTTTAACACACTTCAGCATCACTAAGGTGATGGCGCAGTGGATAAGACGTATGCCTTTGGTGTGAAAGACCCGGGTTTGAATCCACTGTGAGACACCAATGTGTACCTGAGCAAGACACTTAACCCCTAGTTGCTCCAGAGGCATACAACCTCTGACATATATAGATAGCAATTGTAAGTCGCTTTGGATAAAAGCGTCAGCTAAATGAACAAATGTAATGTAAGCATTAAAATTTCAATGAAAAAAAAAAGATTTAGATGTTTTGTTCACATTTATTTAGATGATTTAGATTTTGTTCAACATGTAATACATGCTGGTAATTTTACAAATTGCTGTAATAAGTGCCACCGACTAAAAGAGACACATTTCCTGCTGCCAGTTGGTGGCGCTATAACTTTGACTCACAATAGTCACATCCATGTGATTGGCCTCTTACAGGACACTGCTGGCATTTCATCTAGATCAGTTAATGTATGCAGAAGATATAACACACTTCCTGTTTCTCTTTCCACACCATAATTGTGTTTCCTCACCTAGGCCAAACCGCTCAAGATATCAAAAATCCGCTGGCAATTTATTATTCTCAGTCTCTTCCCTTCATGCTGACCGAGTTTCGTGGCATTTGAATAAATTCTCTGGAGGAGTACTTTAAATTCCATTGCATGCGTTTTCCAAACAACCCTAAATGGACGACTTCCTGTTAAAATAAGTAAAAGTAAAAAGTAAGAGTACTAAAGTTGTTCGTCCCAATGAGATCAATATGTGTACCGAGTTTCATATTATTTCATGCAAGCATGTTTGATTTATATACATAGTATCGTCCATCCGCTCACATTATCAAAGCTTAACTTGCATAAAGTGCATAAAGACAAAAGATTAATGTCAGACACTTGGGCTGCTTTACTTAATTTTCTTTGAATCTCATAATTTATACCTCAAAACAGACTGATCTCATGAAATGGCAAATCGATGACACGCCAATTCGTATTTTTGCATTTTTGGCGTGCTATCAACACGCATATCACTTTTCAGCGTGTTAATGAATGCCGTTGACTTAACGTTACATTACTGTATATATAAATAAAATTTTTGACCTACCCCAACCCTGTCCCTAAACCGACCCGTCACTGGGGTTAATACGATTTATGAGCCTTTCCCTACCATCCTAGGGAAAAAAAATAAAGCGATAAAAAAAAAATATCGCTTCCCAGATGTAGATCTACATTTTTGCTTCGTTTCGCTCTGACATTTAACGGCTTGTACATACGCATACACGCGCAAGCGGATAGCTCAAAATGCGTATAGATAACATGCCACTTGACTTGAAAGTGGCGTGTATGTTTATGCAAAAGTCATGATGTCATGTTGCTCAAAATGTAAAACACAATGTACAAAACTTTCTCCGTTTATATACTATTGTATTGGAATCGATGTAACATTTTATAAATTTGTAATACAAAGCAAGTTAAGCAGTTATCATGTTCAACAAGATTGCAAAC